AGAAAAGTCTAGAAAATGTGTGAAATGTTTTCAATTTCTCCTCTGGGTGTTGCAAGAAGGAGTGATCTACTAGATTATTAAAACAAAAAAGTATCCTTTTCTCATATTTCTAGACTTATTTATTTTTTCTCCTGTTTAGTAAAAAAGTTCAGGACCAAGAAGCCACTAGACCAGGCATTCTGTGCTAACAAGACATGCAAACTTTGACTGATCTACTGAGAAAATTTTTAAAAATTAGATAATCTAGAGAGCTACTAAGATACCAAGAGATGGGAAAGCATAAAATCTGTGCGGAGTTTTAAGTACAGAAGTGATTATCTGAAGCAGAGGTCAACAAACTGCAGCCCATAAACCAAATCCATTCTACCACCTGTTTTTGTGAGGTCCAAAGGGCTGAGAATAAGTTTTACACTTTTAAATGGTAAAAAAGAAAAAATAATATTAAATGGTATGTGAAAATTAAGTGAAATTCCAATTTCAGTGTCCGTAAAGTTTTGTTGGAACCCAGATACTCCCATTAGTTCAAGTATTGTCTATGGCTACTTTCATCCTACAAAGGCACAGTTGAGTAATTGACACAGAAACCATATGATCTGCAAAGCCTAAAATATTTACTACATGGCACTTTACAAAAAAAGTTTACCAACACCTAATCTAAAGTCTGTGACATTTAAGAAAACCAGAGAGAGAAACATGAGAGGAGCTTTGTGAAAAGATCTCTAGGACTCGCAAACTCAGGATCAGTCAACTCCTTGGCCAAAGACACTCAATGAAGGCTCTGTTGAAGCTGCAAGCAGATCCTCTTCGCAGAGTTAATTTGCCGCTGGGAAATGTTACTCGAAAAATCAGGGAGTGAAGGGGACATTGATATGCACCAAACACTCTCTGTAAGACTCCAAACAAGAGGTAACATTTAATTCCACATGAATTGAGGTGGGAAAGAATGGATTTAAAGGACAGAAAGAGTTCAATGAGGGTTCACTTGCATTTCTTCCCTAACAAAAACCTGGGGTGAGAGAAAGAATCAAAGCCATACTTATATAAAATTTGCCAAAGAAATTAAATTGGGACCTATTGTAAACATCAGTGAGGATGGTGTAATTCTTTGAGTTCAGAATGTAAACTACAGTTTCAATTTTATGATGTGTACTGAACAGCGCTCCATGTGTACAAAACAAATGGACATATAATCTCCAATGTTTTACTAGAAAATGTCTGAAAAATAGTAAATTCTTGAGCACATAATGCACATGATGGATTAATTAACCCTCTTTGAAACATAATGAGGTAGAGATGGGGATTCATATCCTGATTCTCCAGATGACAAAATAGAAAAGAAAGGGAGTTACTGAGCAATGATCACAAGGCAAAAATCTCAGAGTCCTGAGTTTTAACCCAGTCCATCCATAGTGCACTCTGTCAGCTGGCTCCATCCCCATCTGAAGATTGCTTTTTTAATGGATTAGGATCTGGGGTTTGTCATCTTCTAGGAAAGCAAAACAAAAAATGCAAGCAGGTATAAATTCATGTGAGTTTGCTGAAATGATAATGATTATGTTTTTAATTTGTAGAACTGTCACAAAAAGTCTGAGCTGGAAGCACATTTTCAAATCCCTTGTTTTACAAACAAGGAAAACTGAGATCCAAAAGGGGAAATTTCTTATCTAAGGCTATACGACTAAAACCTCTTTGAGCCCTTACATCTGTGTGTGGGTATTGTCCTGCTTTGACTTCCTGGTCTCTTAGATAGCATCCAACATGCCTTCCCTTTCACCACCCCACTCACCCTACCCACTCCACAAACCAACTGTTTCTCTCCATGCCTATTTCTAACCCAGAGTTCATCCCATCAAGCACCCCCTGCCAACACATGCAAACTTTGACCAAGTTTCTCTTAACCAGCATTTGGTCATTTTACTCTCATGGCTTAGTAACGTTGTTTTTTTCTCGGCAGACCCTTCCCTTCCCAGCCTCACCCTCACCCCAATTCTCCAACATAACTGACACTGAGAAAATGCAGGACTCCCTCTTAACCCTCTTCCTCAACAAGAAAACCTGGCCAGATTATAACTGACTCTGTGCTGAGCCCTGTGCCAATGACAGCATAAACGTCCCGTATGTTATAAACCAGCAAAGCTAGAAATATATTTGTGTCTGATATACCAGGCTCTTAAGTCCTGTACCTGTGCCCATTCCAGAGATTTCTGAAACTATGAATTAAGTGATAATCAAGACTCTGAATACTCAGTCTGAGTTAACTGACTATAACAAGCAAGTGAGGAAGAGAAAGATTTGTGTTTCTACTCTCTCTAAGACAGGTATAAGTCAATGTTTCAACAAGCCAGATTGAGAATCACCTCCAGAAAGGCCATAGGGGCGATAAAGATGCATTGTAAAAATGGAAAAAGAAACCCAAATCAATAAATGTCCTCCTTGGGTAATAAGACAGCCCCCTGCCTTGAAATAGGAATAATGATGGCAGTAAAATCAATCCACCAGCTTTATAGATGGGAGGAAAAAGAAAACACCAGTAATTTTTTCTGCTTTATTTTGGTGTGTGTGTATGTGTGTGTGTGTGTGTGTGTGCGTGTGCGTGTGTGTGTGTGTGTTTTCTCTAAACCACTTTCTCCTACCTTCAAAGGGCTGAGGAGTAAAATCTATGGTCCATATTTCAAAATAACCAAGGGGCTCAGAAGGTTCCCTCTACATGGTTTTGTAAGGAATCCATTGCTGATTTTTTGTATTTCAAGCAGGCAAGCGCATTTTGGCCCCATGAACTCACAGAGTTTCCCTAACTTAAAAGACTCTAGGGTGTGGAGCATTTTGAAACCTTGCTGGATTTCTGTGTGTTCTGTGAGTTGGGTGATTCGCTCCCCACAACCTCATCCCTTTTCTTCCTTGTTCTCAAATGGCACAGGATCCACCTCATTGCAGAGCTCCTCCCAGGCGGCCCTGCCAGCTGTCCTTCTGCCTGCCTCCCTCCTTCAGCTCTAACTTCTGCAGAAAGCTCCCATGTGGGATTTATGATATGACAGCAAAATCTTCCTTTTCATGATGTGGTTGATAATTTCCCGTTTTCTGAAAATAACAATTTGGTGATCCAGATTTGTAAAACCCAGAGGCAGCATCAAGTATAATCTAATCTATCTGACTATTGAATTTGCTTGTTTGTTCACTTGAACATCTTTCCGATCTGATATGGCTACTATTACTGTGGTGCCTGGGCTTGCTAATACAGTAGCTCTAGATGAGTGCTCTGTTTCATTCTTGCTCTACAGACAGGGCCCGCTGGGTGACAGAGTATGGGGAAGTGCCAGGGTCTCACTGGGGAAGTTGGGGTAGTCTGAAGTCTCTGGAGCCCTTCCTCACTTCCTTTTCTGATAGCCGTCTTTTCATGAGTACTCTGAAGAAAGGAAGGCATTGCTCTCAGGCTCTTTAGGTAGTGCTCTAAGTCTCACTGCCTAGACCTAGACACTGGAGCCCTGGGCTTCATACTAGCCCAGTATAAGCAGGAGCAATGGGTCATTTGGGGGTATGAGCTGAACATGGGGCATGTTTTCAGTAATACCAAATGGTAGCGGCCTTCTTGTGGCTTTGAGGACTGGAAGAAAACAACATGGTAGCTTCTGTTTTATAGATATTTCTGCCACCCCACCAAAATGATAAAACAACACTCACCATTGTGATTGGCTATCATTCAGGAGGTCAGTTAAGGGAAATGCTCTGTCTACTTTTCTCTAAATGCTTCAAACTCTGGTGCTTCTTCCATCCTCTGATGAGTGTCAGTACATTCCTGGTGAATGGTGTGGCCTACATACCTATCTTTTAAGACTGTTCTCAAGGTTGATAGCTCTTATAAAAGGAAAGGTTCTCTGTTCTGGTTCTGATGTGGAACTCAACACTTCCAGGCCAGTGAGAGGAAAGAGAAAGGCCTTGGCAGGAAGTACCTTCTTTGGGGAAAGTTGGGGCACAGGTGAATACCGGTGTTTAACAACTGGGTCTGGTCCCAGAGCATAGTATCTCTGTCTAGGCGACACCCAGCGGGCCTTGTCTAGAGAGCAGAGAATGAAACAGAGCACTCATTCAGACCTAGTGTGTTAGCAAGCTGCTCATCAATATCCCTTTGAGAAGAAAGCCTTCAGTACAGAGTGGGGAGTGAAGTGGATAACAGGGGGCTTAAGCCCTGGGTGGTTAGGGGAAGGAGACATTAACATATATAAGAGGCCTGAAAATGGGAGTTTCTACTGCAGAATGTAGGCTGAGTACCTCTAAGGGTTGAGTGGACATGAGTTGTTCAAAGCTAAATAAGACTAGGGTGCTAGGGCTTGAGCCAATTTAGCCAGACATACGATGCTACCTTAGCTTAAGATTAGGAACTGATGGACAGGCTTTGATGTCATGTCTCTGGAGAGGAGAATAAATGTGTTTCTTCACTTTGAGTTCTTACCTACCTAGAACTATTAACGCAAAGACAGGTCCCAAAGAGGCAGCAACAGGAGGGAGCAGGTGCAGAGACTGATAGTCTGCTGAAAAGTGAGAACACTCCCTTTCTGGGGCTGAGACCAGGAAGCCTTTACTAAGAAACAGTCTCATATTCATCACAAGGAATAGGCTGGGGACTCAGTTGGGGTTTCTCCACTTCTAACCGCTCTAATAAGGACAAATTTTTCCTTTACTAGCCAGCAGAGTAGAAAACAAGAAGGAAGGAAATTAAATCTTTTCAAATCATTAATTTTTCTTTCATTTCTAGGATCCAGTGAGCCCCAAGCCCCAGCTGGGACCACCTTCACTGCCTACATTGCCTGTACAAACAAGGCTGCTGAAACCAGGGAACTAACAAGTACAAAAATTTGCTTTCTTAGGCTCGTAAGTTATTCAATAGGTCCTTGCCAATGACCCTATTTCTGAGATGATAAAATCTTGGGCCCTGAAAGGTTAGTGTCTCTCTCTGGAAGTTAAAGAAGAAAGGAAAACAGAAGTACATGTGCAAGACCCTTTACCTTCAGCGGCTCTTTTGAAGAAGACCTTGCAGCTTCCGCATGTGAGAGCTCCATAGTGACACCCAGAAGCTTCATCTCCACAGATCAGGCAGGTCTTCTGGGGTGGAAAGTAATAGTCAATGGGCAAAACATGGTCCCTGGCAGTCTCCAAACTGAAAGACACAAAAAACCAATGCAACACATGTTAGTGGATGGCAGAAATAGGCAAGTGAAGTCTGAAGTCTTCAGGATTGACTTGCATGTGTAAATTACTATTATTCATTGTTCAAGTGAGTTAGTGTGAAGCTGAATTTTTTTGAGGCTTCTCCTAAAGATGATGTTGGTAGGGTGTGAGAGAACCTTTTTGGATCTTGTCAAGGTATTATGGAAGTTCTCTGGGATTACCCAATCTCATAGGCTATGTCTATATGAGAGAGCAAGGAAGGCAGGAAACCTGAGGTTAAGTTATCTAACTTAAGTTGGTGTTCAGGCAACATTTTCAGAGTGATTAAATGATATGAACCCAGCTTTGTGACTTTACCTCATCCAAAAGGAGACCTATAACAAAACCAGACCAAATATCAAATCAATTTGATGTTCCTTGCTTTAGCTCCTTGAGCCTCAAATCTCATCTATAAAATAGGGATAATATCTCCCATCCTATTGAGCTGCTGCAATATAAACCCGATGATGGATAAAATGCTCTTAGAATAAATACACAAGGATCCTGATTAGCATTATCACACAAGTCTTATTCTTTTTTTCCCCATTCTTTCACTTTCCTTAGGTGTTTCTCTAGATAACATGAACATCTGCCTGATCCCATTCCACAACATAAAGTAGCAAGCATAATCCCTATGCTTGAGGCTTCTGTTGAAAAATGATGTACAGTGATTCTGGACAGCTTTTAGGCTACCATTGATATACTTGACCATTAAAGGACTCATGAGTTCTTTGGGCAAGGATAGAGCTTCAGAAGTCACCTTGTCTAACTGCCTTTCTCCAATAACGTCCGTGCCTGAGCTCTTCCAGACGGATATGAGGGAAAGAGACCAGAAAACCAACACTAAAACCTTCATGGAAGGTTAATTCTCACTCTCCTATAGTAAGAAATTCAAGTTTGAACAAAATGGAACATGGTTCTCACTACCCAAAGATCAACTTTTGTCTTTTCTATGTCTTATGCCTAAACATTAAACAAAACTCACAGTAGAGTTGCCTCAGATAGATGACAACTGCCCATGTTATCATTCACAGGAGCACAACTGCTATATTTTATTTTAAGTACTTCTTCCTTACTAAGGAATGAAGGAAAATTAGCCCTAATGGGAGCCTGTTTGCTGTGTCGGGTGATTTCAACACCTAACAATAACTCTGTAAAGACAAGCTTATTTTCTCATTTTTATATCTATTGTACAGATGAAAAAAGACTCGGAGACGAGAAGTGCAGGACAATTTGACTCCAAGTCCAACAATTTCCATTAACATATTGTCTCCTCACCACTCACCTTTACTTTCCACCAATGGCCTTTTGATTTGAATGCTCAGCACAGTCATCAGAATTTTTTAAAAATCATGAAAGGTTATCCTCCCCTCAACCCCAAGTGAACAGTTCTGGCAGGACAAGAGCAAAGAAAACTTTCACTCACTTTCCAAGCACTTCAACTGCAAGACACAAATATCAGCCTTTATTCAAGTCCCAAGAACAATAGAAAGCATTCAAAAAGTTCTGCTGATATGCAAACCCAGTGGCTGGATATCATGGCCTATCTTCACTCCCCACAAGCCTTCCTTTCCTTACCCTAACTAGAAAGCCAGCAAGAGTACTTCCACCAAACCAAGGCTAGCAGGGCCATAAGTTCCACAGAGAAGGTGCTTACTTCCAATATACAATTGAGCTAAATACTAAGATCATAATTCCTATGTCTAAAAATGCCGTTTCCTTGGGTAAAAACTGTGCCCCTTTTCACAGTCCTGAATGAAACATAGAGAAGAAATAGAAAATTTTCACAAGTATCTTCCTCCTTTCTCCACCTTTTTGACTTCTGTTACTAACACATACAGTCCAAATAAAATCAGAAGAACATGTATTTAGGCACTCTATGTGCCATGCCATTTCATACATATCATCTCATTTAATTTTCCCAATGACCCTGCTAGGTAGCTCTGTATCATCCCTATATTACAGAAGAAGAAGCTGATGCTCATAACAATTAAGTAAACTTGTTCAAGATCTTGCATCTATTAATAATAAGTGGCAATGCCAGGATTTCATCCTGGGTGAGTCTGACTCCAAAGTGTAGATTGTTAGCCACTGACAAACCATGTTGTGCGACTGAAGGTTAGGATTAGGTAAGTTGGTTCAACTCAACTTTTAGCACCTAGCCCTATGGACCAGGCACAGGGGTAGATGCTGGGGACATAGTGGTGATTGAGATATTGTTCTTGGCCCTAAGAAGCTACTATCTGGTAGAGAAGAAAGACAGGAAGTAGCTAATTATAAAGTAAAATAGTAAATGATAAAAGAAAGCATAATGCAGACTGCTACACATAAGGATACACTTCAAAGATAGGATTATTTTTTGAAAGACACAATGTATGTACGGGTACACATATGTATGTATGGGTAAAGGAGATGCTGCTGATGCTGATGATGATAATGATGGTTATTATTAGATGATCACAAAATAAATATCAGATAAACAAAATGGAAACATGCAGAAAGTAAATATGAGCTCATTTTGTAAAGGACCTTTAAGAAATACAAAGGGAGAGTTGCTCTTCAATGGGTATAAAGTTTCTGTTAAGTATGAAGAAAAAGTTCTAGAGATTTGCTGTACAACATTGTGCCTATAGTTAACAATCTGGTGTTGTGCCCTTAAATTTTGTTATGAAGGTAGACCTCATGTTGTGTTATTATTAAAAAATGTTTTTTAAAGAAATAGAAATTTTCAACCATACTAAAATTGAAACTACAGTTAGAATTGTTTCAAAGAATCTAATCAAATTTAAAAACAATGAAAGACAAAATATCCATTACAATTTTGTTTATTAGATATGAGTTTAATAAAGTGCACCTTGAACAAAAATAACTGTAAAGGAGGAAGAGGAGGATAAATAGTTAAAGGGATTCAGAATCTGGACTTTTACTAGTTGCAACCCATTTTGACAAGAGACCTGAGATAGTAACTCCTGGAGTCACTAGGTCAGTTTCTGCCTCTCCCCACCTCCCTCGCTAGCAAAATATTTTGGATATCACTCCCACTGACCCTGACCTAGTGTGGACAAAGGGCACATTGCAGTTCTGACTCATGAGCTGAACTTTGGATTTTGGAAATTAAAATTCCAACTGCAGTCCCTCTCTCAGGCTTATATCCTAGAGAAACTTGTGCACATGTGTACCAGGAGGCACATGCAGGAACAGTCATAGCAGTTTTGTTTATAAAAGCATAAATGATAAACATCCACTGACAGGAGAAAAATAAATTATGGCACATATATCCAATAAAATACAATTCAGCAATGAAAAGGAATGGAATCGAGCTATGCATAGATGAATCTCAAATACTAACATAAAAGACATAACTCACAATCACATACACACAATATGATTCCATTATATAAACTTCAAAAAGAAGTAAAAGCAAACAATATATTATTTGGGAATGTAATGTGAAAACTTATCAAAATGCAAGGGAATAATGAAGCCCAAATGTAGGATGGTGGTTACTTCTGAGGGGAGGCTGGGAATGATGATAAGAGAAAAGAGGATACAAGTAGATTTATGCTCTTATTTTTAAAATATTGACTAAGCTGCCATTACATGTCTGACATTCTTCTAGGTCCTAGAGATATAGCAATGAACAAAACAGACAAAAATCCATGCCTTCACACAGCTTCCATTCTAATAGCATTGATGCAATAATGATGTTAATGTTGTTGATTCTTTAATCAGGGTTCATAAACATTAATTTTATAGTTATGCCATATAACATATATCACATGTATTGTTTGATATGACTAAAACAGCACATAATGAGAAAAATTAAAAGAAAAACTTCAGAAGTTTTGAATATGTTTCTAAATAGCATCCTAATTGCAAACAGAGCAGAGGTTTGCTTTGAGAACAAGTGCAGAATTTGCACATGACATTGTGTTTATTCTTACTTCCCATGGGTTACATGTTCACTTATTATCCTGAGGCATGGCATTTGGTTTTACGAGTCTGAAGCAAAAGCAATGCCCCATAGAATGGAAGGTTTCTGAACCAGAATACCACTTACAATTCTTCAACAGTTTCACAAGTAATTAAATAAAAGTGGATTACTAGAAGCTTTTGGCCTGCCAATGCCGGCTCATGGGGAACTTGGGCTTAGGAAACCTTGGCACCCAGCTGAGATCACTAGGTCTCTCTCTCTCTCTCTCTCTCCCCCCACCTCGCTTCTGACTCCTTTCCTTTTTCTCTCCCCTCCTCTGCTGCTCCCCCTGCCCCCCAATTTTCTTTTCAAAGGAGGAATTGGGAATACTTTGAATGATCTGATTAATATAAATAAGTCCCACTAATGACTGTGGAAGCAGGGTGAGATGTAAAAGTAACAGACCAGTTTTATTTGTTAGAGTTGAATGGCAATTCAACAAGGCTTTGGAACCAGCCAGACCTGGGTTAGAATTTTGCCTCCACCACTGAACTTTGGATGAAGTAATTAAAGCTCTCTGGGCTCCATTTGCCTCATTTAGAGAGTTGGGAATACTTTCAACTCTAGAAGGCTTTTGCGAGAATTACAATTACATTAAATAACATATGTAATAGCCCTTGCCTCTGTGCCTGCCACATGGTAGGAGCATTGTAAGTCTTGGTTGCCTTAATCTTTTGTCTTACCATAAAAAATGAAATATCTAATATTCTAAGAATAAAAAAGAGAATTTTTCTTGCCTACGCAGAGCTTTTAGAGAAAGGTAAATACATGAATACATGTGAGGGGGGATGTAGGTCATAGTGGGTGGGGAGAGAGGGAGGGAGAAAGGGAGAGGGGAAGAGACAGAGAGGGAGCAAGCCTAGATGTGTAAACAATGAGGATTCAATAAAGTTGTGAAGGTAAAGCACCCCACACCACTGCTGACACAGTGCTTAATAAATGGTCATTGCTACAGTAATCTCACGAGAAAGTTGTAG